TTTTTATGAGAGTGTAACATTATAACATGATATAAAACTCAAAAAAGTTGATTTTACATGATATTGCCCCTTTAAGATTGCAAAGCAAAAACTATAGTCTTTCACCAAACCTCCCTTCAGAAAATCTGACATATTCTGTTGGTAGGATAAAAAAGTATAAGCTAGGAAACAGGTCAGCATCAGTTAATTTGGATGAACTTTACAAACTAAAAAGGTCAGTGATATAAACACGACACAAACTGGTATATCAGCGTTCATTCAGCGGTCAGACAGGATGAACATTTACTAATTATGTTCAGAATTGGTGACAACCTCTGAGCCTGTCACTTTATTCTGTCCGTCACTGATGAGTTACAGGAGCAGAGAGACCATAGGTCAGCTAAAACTCATCAGCACAGCTACCTGCAGGTTTTACACTGAACCCTGATGCATGACGTTCACACACACAACCAGCATGGAGCTGTTTGTAGAAGTCAAGGTCCTGGCAGGCAGGCGAGTCATGCAACGTGTCAACTCTTGTTGCTGTACACAAAAGATCAGACTTAATGTCTCAGACCAATCCCCTTAGTGGACTGAGTTAGTCTTTCTGAGCTGAAGTCTAGGGACGCTAACACTCACACGCAAACATAGGTAAATGAGAACAGAAAAGGCAAAAATAAAGTACTAAAATGGAAGAACGGCAAAAGACAAATTTCTTTTTTAGTTCTGTGAAAATGCAGTAATTAGTGACTTTGCTGAAATGCGCTGAAGAAGCTGTAACTGGGTTGTTTTAAGCTAAAATAAGCAGATTAAAAGTAAAAAGCTAAAGGTAGAAAAATGTACGGAGCCCGCCAGGGTTCAGTGGTGAAAATAAAAAACAGCCGCCAGAAATCCGTGCGCACGGATTACCCGTGCAGCAAAACAAAGGGCTGACTAAAAGTTTAAAGTAATAAAATATTTGCTATAAACAAGCTAAAAGTAGCTAAATGTGAGCACATACCTAAAAGAAGGTGCAGCTAAAAGTAGAACAAAAATAACTAAAAGTTAATAACAAAAGGTTAGCAAAGTAGCAGAAGAAACAAAACAATTACAATTGCAATATTATAGGCAGAAACATGGGTGTGCCATGGGATCCCCAGTTTCTCCTATTGTTGCAAACCTGTACATGGAGGAAGTGGAAAAGAGAGCCTTGATGTCCTTTTCAGGGGTGCCACCGAGCCATTGGTTCAGATATGTTGACGACACCTGGGTTAAAATTAAAGCCCAGGAAGTCCAACATTTCACTGATCACATCAACTCTGTGGATGAATATATTAAGTTCACACGAGAGGATGTAAAAAATGGCAGGTTGGCGTTCCTGGATTGYGATGTTTCGGATGGAGGATGGTTAGAAACTGGCGTATATCGTAAGCCCACCCACACAGACCAATATTTGCGTTTTGACTCCCACCACCCACTGGAACACAAGTTAGGAGTGATCAGGACTCTGTACCACAGAGCAGACAGTGTCCCTACAAACCCAGGAGCCAGGGAGAAAGAGAAATCACACACACGACAGACCCTGGAGCAGTGTGGTTATCCTGACTGGGCTTTCCTGAAAGCAGACAGGAAACACAGACAGGATTCCATGCAACCTTCAGGTGAAAATGAAGACCCCAAACCCAGACCCAAACCAGTGGTTATTCCGTATGTTGCAGGTGTTTTGGAGAAACTGAGACGTTTATTTTCTAAACATGATGTCCCAGTGGCTTTCAAACCCCAAAACACATTACGGCAAAGGCTGGTTCACCCCAAAGTTCCGGTGCCCCGGCACAAACAGAGCAATGTTGTATATGCTGTTAAGTGCCAGGAGGACTGCGACCAGTTATACATCGGGGAAACAAAGCAGCCACTGTTCAAAAGAATGTCCCAACACAGACGAGCTACATCTAATGGCCAGAACTCTGCAGTTTTCACTCATTTACAGGCCAGCGGTCAGTCTTTCAGAGATGAGGATGTTCTCATTCTTGATAGAGAGGAACGTTGGTTTGAGAGAGGAGTAAAAGAAGACATTTTTGTGAAGAAAGACCGTCCATCATTAAACAGAGGTGGAGGCCTCCGTTTTCAGTTGTCCCCCTCCTACAGCGCAGCTGTTGCCAGTATCACTCAACCCCCTGTTAACAATAAGTGTTAATTAGGTGTCAACGATAGCCATGTGATGTGAGTATCAGTCACATGGAGGCAGGGCTTAAAAGCCTGAATTTTGCCTGAAACTCTCAGACTGAAGAAGTCTCTTGGAGGAGAGACGAAACGTTTCATTAGAGAAGAACCCGTCCAGAAGACCTACACAATTTTTTTCTTTTTAAAACAATTACAAGCAACTAAACAAATGCTAATGCTAAAGTTAGCTAAACAGGTGCTTAAAATAGCCAAACAGATGTTTGAATTAGCTGAACAATGCTAAAATTAAATAAAAAGTTGCTAAAATTAACAAAACTGCTACTGTACCTGTTTAAATCAGCCAAACATTAGCAAAAAAGAGCAGAAGCGTTGCTAAAATCTAAAACAAGCAGGACAGTAGCAAAAAGCTCAAGGTAGTATAAAAAGACAGAAACAGAGCTCTTACACTGAAGCAGATTTTATAGAGAACATTTTCGAAGGAACTGAAGAAATCTTAATGTACTGTATTTTCTGTAGGTAAAACATTTAATTTTTTATTTTAAAGATTATCAGCATTACAAAACTAACTGGTCTGAACACTAATTTCTGAAATGAGCTGAACGTTTTTATGAATAAATGATCAAAATAACACAATGTATGCAGAGGTAGTTAGACTGTAAAAAACATGGAAACATTAATTAAAGAAACAGGAAAATAATAATCAACATTCAAACAATAGATAATGAGCAGAATATGACTAAATTACATTAAATTACTGAACAACAATAAAGAAAATTGTTTGTTTTAAATCACAGGACATTGAAAAGTCAATAAGAACAACAGAATTTTGTTGTGGTAGAACATGTGATCCAGTCATATTGTGATGAAACAATTGTTCTGAAAACTGATCTGTCATATTGAATTATTGCCCAGCCCCAACCCACGCAATCTGCTGCAATCCAACACAACAGCCCTGTAAGAAAATCTGTGTCTGTGAAAATTGCTGCTCTTTTATCTTTCCGTGTCGTTGTTCTGAATTTGTAACTTTTCAGGTCATAATTAAGTTTCCAGACATGATCACATTGCAGACTTGTATACTTTTTCACAAAATGACATAAAAACACTCGTGAAGATTTCCTCATCTTTGCTCTCCCCATTTCCAGTTGTGTGCTGAGCCGTCACCAGAACCGACGGACCCGCTCCTTCCTCGCCTGTGTCACCTGCTGAAAGAGGAGCGTGGCTATGGCTTCAACCTGCAGAGCGATAAGAAGAGGGGCGGGCAGATTGTGCGCTCCGTTGACCCTGACTCACCTGCTGAAAGAGCAGGTGTCCAATCTGGAGACAGAATAGTGGAGGTAGGCCAAAACAGCCAAAACACACTTCACAGGGTTTATTGTAGAAAACGAAAGTTACGTATGTAACTACGGTTCTATGAATCCTGAATGACTGCCAGAGGGCGGTGCTAAAAGCACTGAATGTTCCCTTCGCGCATGCGCCGTTCGAGCTGTAATACCAACAGAGTCACACCTGTGACCAATCGGATGACTAACCAGAGGCTATATGGCTTGACGTCATTCGAAGCTCTGTTCCTACAGAATCTTCTCTCAAATGCAAGGATTCTGAGTGACAGAGATGCTCTGGCGGTCATTCAGGATTCATAGAACCGTAGTTACATACATAACTTTCGTTCTATTTCATCCCTAATGACCGCCAGAGGGCGGTGCTAAAAGCCCTGAATGACTAATACCAGCGATGTCACAAGGAATCCTGAGCACCTACCTCACTGAGAAGACCAAGAGGACCCTTGTAAAATAACCTGTCCCAAAGGGTGAGGAGAAGCCACATTCACAATATAAAATCTAGTGAATGTGCTCAAAGAAGACCATGATGCCGCAGCACATATTGTTTCCAGTGGGACCCCTTTCAGGGCYGCCCAGGAAGTGGAAATGCTCCTGGTTGAGTGTGCCTTCACCCTGAATGGCAGGGAACAGCATCCTGCCCTGTAGACATGGCAGATGACATCCACAATCCAGTGGAAGAGACGCCGTTTTGAAAGGGGATGGCCTAATCTAGGGCCTCCATAATATAAGAACAGCTGGTCTGAACGTCTTATAGGAGCAGTAGCAGCAATATATGTCTCCAACGCCCTCACTGGGCACAATATGTCAGGCCTATTGCCAGTCTCTCCTGACGTAGGCTGAAAGTGCGCCAATCTCAGTGGCTGGTTACAATGGGAATGCGAAAAAACTTTAGGGACAAATGCAGTGTTTGGCCACAAGGTAACACCAGAGCCATCTGGGGCCCATTTGAGACATGACGGGCTGGCAGAGACAGCATGCAGCTCCCCGACCCTTTTAGCTGAGACAATAGCTAATAAAAATGCTGTCTTACATGAGAGCCACTTGAGGTCAGCCTGAAACAAAGACTCGAAGGGAGGGTGGCGCAGGGCTTCGAGGACCAAGGGCAGAGAAGGCAAGTGTCGAGGTATGGGAGAACCTTCACTCCACAAGCCTGCAGAGGGGAGAGAGCTGCCTTCACACACCGAGTGAAGACCCTCGGGGAAAGCGAGAGGCCGAATGGGAGAACCCGGAACTGCCAGTGGTGACCCCGATATGCAAACCTGAGAAAGCAGCGATGTTCTGGCGCAATGGGTACATGGAAGTACGCATCTGTCARGTCTACTGATGTGAACCACTCTCCCCTTGCAATAGCCTGCAGGACCTCTGCCATGGTGAGCATGTGAAAGGGCAGGGCATTTAAATACAGATTGAGACCCCTGAGGTCCAGAATGGGACGAAATCCGCCCGTCTTCTTCGGCACAAGAAAATGCAGTATGTTTAATAAAAACCTCTGGGTTGCTGCAGAGGATCCACCGCCTCGATCGCACCCTTGGCCAGGAGGGTGGAAAGCTCCTGGTCCAGGGCATGAGCTTTCACCGGGTCGGCGATGACAGTCTCTCWTACCCGGTGTGATATGTGAGGCCGCCGTCGGAACTATAACCGGTAACCATAGGTCAGAGTGGCAACCACCCATGGGTCCACAGTTTGAGCAGCCCAACAACTGAGCTGCTGATGAGAAAAGTATCCGACGGCCGGCCTGGGGGCATCACTTCCTCTCCCCATGGCCCCTAGGAGGCCTGGGGGGTGGGGTGACGACCAAAAAGCTGTGGCCTGGGCCTGTCTGGTTGGCTGGGGAGCTGGCTCACGAAAGTCCCTGCTGGGTCTCCGTTGCGCAGCATGAGGATAAGGACCTACAGGTCGATCAAAACCCCGAGGTGGTGGCCGAGGGTTGGGGCCAGCTGAAGGACGCCTCAAGTTACGAGGAGATGGAGGCACACTCCTGTTAAGGCCTGAAATCTGCTGCCTAGTCTGTTGCACCTGGACAGTACGTTCCAGGGCTTCCACTGCCGCAGAACCAAACAACTCCACTGGCACCACAGGAACATTACGGAGGGTCCTACGGCATGTCTCAGTAAACGTGGACTGAGCCAGCCAGACCTGTCTGCAAGCCTGAACCAGGTAGGACATCACACATCCAAGCTCCCTTGTCATAAGTGCAAAGGCCTGAAGCGCTGCATCACCAAAGCCGGTGGCGGTGTTTGTCCCATTAGCATCCTGAAGGGATGCGGAAAGGGCAAACATGAGGTGTGCCAGAGAGTTGCCAAGGCGGCCAGCACGTGCTCCTGAATTATAAGCCTTACAGATGAAGTCATCTGTAATGCGACATTGGGGCCGTGGGCACCAAACATCATGACGCAGAGCCTCATCCGGTGGCACAATGAGCGAGGCAACTGCAGGTTCAACCGAAGGCATTTGACCCAAGCCTTCCTTGACCGCGTCATGCATAGCCGCCAACACCCGACCATCTGTGTTGAGGTGCGAAAAGGCCCTAGGGTCCCGCCAATAGGCATGCAACTCCCTCAGGTACTCCTCTGATGGAGGAACCGAAAAGGGGGTGGGGGCCCGCCCTCTTCTGAAAAAGGCACTTGCAGGGGTGGACTCCTCCACCTTCGGAACATCTAGCTGTAACTGATTTAGAGCCAGACGCATAATATCCTGCATAGAGCCATCACCTGACGCACTAGAAGCACCCTGAGATGAGGAGCGTGAGCCCATCTCCGAAGCGTGGGACGACTGTGCCCCGTCCTCACTTCTAAAGTGAGAGGCAGAGGCTGCCAAGGACAGCATGTCCTCCTCCCTAGTCAACTCAGGCATGGTTGGGGATCCTGTTGGTCCACCCAGCTGGCGTGTCTGAAAAAGAGATTTCATTTCTGCCAACTCTGCAGACAGCTGTGCAA